ATACAAGCATCCTTTTACGAACAATGGGTCAAGAAAAGGTGGTTGAAAGCAACATTGTGTCAGATTTGGAGATTGCTGGGCTGAATGAAGAGATCTTTTGTGAATTACCGGATTTATTCACACAGAGAAACATGCCTGTTCATTATAACAACATTCCTCACCAAGAAGACATCGAAAGATGGCCACATCTGAAAAATTTGAAGATCACTGAAATAAATTCAGGAGTTGATTTGCTCATTGGAACCAATGTGCCTAAAGTACTTGAGCCATGGGATGTCATTCGGAGTCAAAATGGAGGACCATATGCAGTTAAAACGATTCTTGGATGGACAGTAATGGACCTCTCAGAGGAGACTGTGATGTTGACACAAGAGAGCTACAAACAACTGTTACTGTTAACAGGATTTCGGTGACAAGACTGGAGGACTTGTGGCAACAACAACTGAAGGTCGATTTTCCTGAATGTCCTCAAGATGAACAACCTGGATGGTCCAGAGAAGATATTCAGTTCATGGAGCGGGTTACAGAATCAATTGAGCTGAAAGATGGACGTTACACCATTGCTCTACCTCTGAGACAGAAAGATCTGAAAATGCCTAATAACAGGAAAATGGCAGAACAACGCATTTTGAATCTCAGAAGGAAGTTTACTAAAAACCATCAATTTCTTTCTGACTATACCAACTTCATGAATGATATAATTTCCAAGGGCTATGCTGAGAAAGTACCAGTTGAAAATCTTGAACGGTGTGATGAGAAGGTTTGGCATATACCACATCATGGAGTATATCATCCTCACAAGAAGAAGATAAGAGTTGTGTTTGATTGTGGTGCAACATTTGGAGGAACATCTTTAAACACTCAACTCTTACAAGGTCCAAACCTCACCAGTTCATTGGTTGGTGTCATCATCAGATTCAGAAAGGAACCTGTTGTTATAACAGCAGACATTGAGGCCATGTTTCATCAGGTCCGAGTACCACCATCTGACTCGGATCTGTTGAGATTTCTCTGGTGGCCGAATGGAGAGTATGAGCAGCAGCTGGTGGAATACCGAATGGTTGCACATCCTTTTGGAGCTACATCATCTCCAAACTGTGCATGTTTTGCATTGAGAAGGTGTGCAGAGGATAACATACAACTGTTTCCATCTAATGTTATAGATGCTGTGCTTCACAATTTTTATGTGGATGACTGTTTGGTTTCTGTGAGCACAGAAGAAGAGCTGTGTCATTATATCAAGGACTTCGTGATTTGTGCAAGAAAGGTGGATTTCAACTTCTCAAATGGATAAGCAACCGACGCAGTGTTCTTACTGCAATACCACAGCATGAAAGATCCATTGAGGTGAAGAACCTGGATATGGAAAATGATGATCTACCTGTGGAACGTGTGTTGGGTGTACAGTGGTGTGTACAATCAGACCTGCTGAAATTCAAGATCATTCTCAAAAATAGACCTCTGACAAGACGAGGAATCTTGTCCATCATAAGTTCCATCTACGATCCTCTTGGTTTTTTGGCACCAGTTGTTTTGGTCGCAAAGGGGATTTTACAAGACCTAAGCAGAAGACATGTTGGCTGGGATGATTCTTTGCCGCATGATGTGTTACAGAAGTGGAAAAACTGGTTGGAAGAACTTCATCAGCTTGAACAATTTGAAGTTAACAGATGTTTGAAACCACAGGACTTTGGACAAGCCACAAATTTGCAGCTTCATCATTTCAGTGATGCAAGTGAGAATGGATATGGAACAGTGAGCTACTTGTTGCAGTATAATGCTGATGGACAGGTGCATTGTGCATTTGTAATGGGTAAAGCTCGTGTAGCTCCACTGAAACCAATCACCATCCCTCGGATGGAGTTGACTGCTGCAGTGGTTGCCAGCCGTATGGATAAGCTGTTGAAGAAGGAGTTAAGAATGGAACTGAAAGACTCAGTATTTTGGACTGATAGTACTTCAGTTTTGAAGTACATCAACAATGAAAGATTGAGGTTCAAAACCTTTGTGACAAATCGAGTTGGAGAGATACTCAATTTGTCAAATCCCTTACAGTGGAGGTACGTTGCTACCAGTATGAACCCAGCAGATTTGGCATCCAGAGGAACAAGTGTGGAGTCTTTTCTCAAGACAAATATCTGGATGTCTGGACCAAAGTTTCTTCATAATCCTGAATGGAAATGGCCTACAAATCCTGAGTGCATAAGTCGTTTTGCTCAGGAGGATCCAGAAGATCCAGAGGTCAAGAAATTGGTTTCTGTTAATGCAACATGCCTTAATGAGCAAGTGGATCCAATTATGAATTTTATTCATACATTTTCCTCTTGGAACAAACTAAAAACAATGGTTGGGTGGCTACTCAGGTTCAAACAATTGCTTTCCAAACTGGCTCAAAAGAGAGCACAACTGAAGTTGGAACTTGCAGACTCCAATCTTGATGATGAAAATTTTCAAGAAAGGCTTACGAAAGAAATGAATGTCTACAAGAAAGATGTTGCATTGGGAGCCTTAACAGTAGAGGAGTTTGAGAAAGCTGAGAGTGCCATCATTTGTTATTGTCAAAGACAACGATATCCAGAAGAAATAACAAGTTTGCAAAAACATGAAAGTGTGAAGAAAACAAGTCAGCTCTACAAGCTTAATCCTATTCTTGAAAGTGGTGTATTGAGAGTTGGTGGAAGGCTAAGCAAAGCAGCTATGCCAGCTGAAGCCAAATATCCAGCCATATTGTCTAAAGATCTTCACATCTCTGAAATCTTACTGCGCCATATACATCATCAGACAGGCCATGGTGGACGTAATCATATGCTCGCTGAACTACGTCAAAAGTATTGGATCCCAGGTGCCAGTGTTGCAATCAGAAAGACTCTATCAAGGTGCATAACTTGTCGACGACTCCATGCCACACCAGGAATTCAAAGGATGGCAGACCTTCCACAGGAACGAGTGTATCCAGACAAACCCCCATTTACTTGTGTGGGTGTGGATTGTTTTGGTCCCTTTGAAATTAAACGTGGCAGGAGCCTGTTAAAACGATATGGAGTCATTTTTACGTGTATGGCAATAAGAGCGGTTCACCTTGAGATGTTGTCATCACTGGATACTGATTCTTTCATCAATGGTCTACGAAGATTTATTGCCAGACGTGGTCAAGTGTTGGAGCTGCGTTCAGACAATGGAACCAACTTTGTAGGAGCTGAACGGGAATTAAGGGAAGAAATTGAAAGATGGAATCAAACTCTGATCAGTAACACTCTCCTTCAGAAAGGAATAAAATGGTCTTTCAATCCTCCTACTGGCTCACACCATGGAGGTGCATGGGAAAGTCTTATTAAGTCTGTGCGAAAGGTGTTAAATTCTGTTTTAAGGACGCAGAGTCTTGATGAAGAAAGTCTTCATACAGTTTTCTGCGAAGTTGAGGCCATTATCAATAGTCGACCTATAACCAAAGCATCAACTGATGTTCAAGACCTGGAAGCACTAACTCCAAATCATCTTCTTCTTCTAAAGACTACACCTTCATTACCACCAGGAGTGTTTTCCAAGAATGATGTATACGCTCGACGAAGATGGAGACAGGTGCAATATATGGCGGATCTCTTCTGGAAGCGTTGGTCAAAGGAGTACTTGCCTCAACTACAAGAGCGACAGAAGTGGCAAAGAACGAGACGGAACTTCATTCCTGGAGATGTTGTCCTCATCGTGGACGACTCTGCTCCACGCAACTCTTGGTTAATGGGAAGAGTTGTGAACATTGTTCCTGATAAAGGAGGACTTGTGCGATCAGTTCGCATCAAGACTAAGACAAACTACCTGGAAAGACCCATTACCAAGTTGTGTCTGCTTCAGGAGGCGGAGATACCATGAACATTTTAATAACCTTTTCTCTCCCTTTTTAGGATTGTTAGTGACTTTCTTTCTAATCGATTGCTTACTCAAGAAGAATAGATTAGGATGAATTTGATATTGAGTAAATTTATGGTCATTTATTGCCGAGGCTTGGCTCTTATAATGTTAATATGATGGATAATTATCTTTATAATAATTAGGGGCCGGTATGTAAGAGCCAAATGACCTAAATGAGCATTATTTGTGGCACAGCTGTGACAGTTAATGGTGGGTGTGTCGTAAGTGGGCGTGACTGTCACTTAGTATGAATGAGAGCCGTACTGACGCGCTGGTCACTATGTAGAAGGAAACGGGTGCACCGGGTGGAGAGTCATAATTTCTGTTGACCGTGTTAAATATTGTTTATTGTTAGTATCATTATGATTTAGCCTGGTCAGCATGTGTCAGTTCTTAAGTATTTAAGCTGATATATAAAAAAATTGATGGTAACAACAACACAAAGGAGCCACTTGAAGTTATTAGAACACGCGTCATGACAGCAACAACCTACCCAGTTAACCCTGTGCGACCTTCTATATAATTGTTAGTTTCTACCGCACGTTTAAGCGCCATCTTGAGGGGCCATAAAGATAACCAGCATAAAACGACTGTAAGATTTTTTGAATCCAAGTTACTTAAAATAATTTAGTGATGGTGCAAACTTGCTGCATTATTGGATGTAACGTCCAATCACACGACCGAAACGGTAAAACGATGGAAAATGGACTTTCATTCCACTGTTTCCTGCCTATATATAACGCACAGGCAGTTAGCTCTGATATCTTTCATAAGCTAACGGACCTAAGCTAACGGAGCTGAGCTATCGGAGCTGAGCTATCGGAGCTAAGTTAACCAAGCTGAGCTAACGGAGCTAAGCTATCGGAGCTAAGCTAACCGAGCTGAGCTAACGGAGCTAAGCTATCGGAGCTAAGCTATCGGAGCTAAGCTAACCGAGCTGAGCTATCGGAGCTGAAGAAAAGGAGCCGAATGCCCTGGTATTGTGATGTTCCATGTTTTTCTGTGTGTGATTTTGAGTTTTCTGTGTCCTGAGTCTCCTCGTTGTCCTGTCTTCCCCTTAATTATTCCCAGGCGTGTCTTGTTCCCATGATTACCCTCAGCGTCCTTTGTTCCTTGTCGGGTCCTCGTCGTCGTTACTTGTTCGTTGTACTGTCCGCCTGTTTGACCAGTCGCTACCGGTGTGAGCCCTGGATTCTGCCCAGCCGTGCTGCCTGGCCGCGGACTTGCTGTTTTTTGCTGTTTGTATTTTTAGATTTACTGTCATCATAAGTAAACGTCCACCACTCACCTTACCTGGGCCTCCAGCGTCTGCCTCACCAACCCCTCATGACAGGTATCAGCGGCGAGACGTCCTGATGTCTCCAACATCTCTACCCGTTGCTCCAGACATGTCCATTCTGGCCAGTGTCTAAATTCGCTTGGTTGGTTTTGCGTCATCATGTTTTGCTATGATTTGTCCGGGTTACTCATGTTCAGTTATGTTGAGTTCATTTAAGTGGGTCAACCTTGTTTAGGTCGGGCTTATATTTTAGTGTGAGTTTCGTCAGTGGACATTGTTATTTAATTATTAATAAGCAGTTTTACTCGTGTTTTAGTAATACTGATGTGTGTTCTGGTTTCTCCTCTTCAAGGCAAACCGTCCTATGAACTGGATTCAGTCGATCCAGACTGAATCTGGGTCACTGCAGGTAAAACCCACATCAGACCCACATGCGTCATTAAAGAGGCGAAACAGCAAAACCATGTTGGATCAACAAGTTACAGAGACTGTTGTCTTTATTTACCCCAGAAACAAATCTATAAAATGTAATAGATGAGTATGCTTCAAATATACAGTCTAGTAGAATAATTTCACACTGATTTACAGTCAATGAGGTGACGAGTTAGAAGCCCTTGAAGAAATAAGATTTAATATTAAATTATGGGAGATATCGAATATGACTTAAAATTTTAATAGATGTAATAACATGAATTATCACTTGTTTGTATCAGTTGGTCACAAGGCGTTTATTTACAGGAGTGTTAGGCTGGGAAATGGATCAGAACCAGTGAACCTCCAGCAGCCGGCCGGAATCAGCGTTCATGAATCGGATCAACCTGCAGCTAAACGCCCCCGACTCCACGGAGCGCGGATATCCGACATGCAACTAGAGAACTGCTTCACTGCGGTGGGCAACAATGAAACACGGGAAAAAGTTAGTTTTGGTCTGTGGCCTTTAATGATGGCACCGAGCGACTGAACGTCACACGCAGTGACGTCAGTTCCAAAGCTCTATATAAAATCCAGAAGACTCTGAATAAAATAATCGTCATTACTCCAGCGATGCTGGATGATGGTACAGTTTAGCACAGGCTCCTCTTGATTGTGGCATATTTTGGTTATATTTCAATATATTCTTCAATACTCCTTAATATACAAAGAATTATTTTTGCTTTGAAAAGATTTTAGCGAAAGAGACATTTTCTAATCGTTTTGATCAGGAAACTAATCAGACACCTAATGTTTCCAAACAGCAGCGCTGAGGACCCGTTGGGCTCACAGGTTCATCTTAATGCCAATCGTTTGAGTTGGTTCCCAGTGGAGGCTGTAGATATGGATCATAATCTGACAGTTTAATGCAGGAACGTTTATTATTATAACTTTATCTTGTTTCGCCACCAACTATAACATTGGCTGTTAACTTTGTCATTTAGATGAGATGTTATTGCAGGATAACTGATGGACGTTACTTGATATGTTGCTTTAAATCACAGCAGCACATCAGTGATTTAAAGTTTATTAAATGTGATGACCTCATAGTTCAGCGTCACTTCCTGTGGGTCGAGTCGCTACAGGATATATATTATATTTCCACTTTAAATATGCCTCTACTAGATATGCCTTATACAGAATTGCACTAATGTAATTGCCTTATTTGTTTGTGATTACCTTGTTTAAAAATAAAAAAAATGTTCATGTAATATCACGGGGATGTACTGTCTATGTATGTGACCCCTGGAAGTCATTACTGTATTTGTATTGTTATGTCTTCTGTTTCTCAATAAAGATCTATTCAAAAAAAAAAAAACATTTTGGTTGCAGAGCCAGAAACTCTCAGCAGGCTGGAAATGTTAATAGCTCCCATTTCAGGAAGCTGATCGATAATCGATCAGTGCTGGTTAGAAAAGCTTCCACTCAGGTTCACATTCTGCTGTTCATGACAGGAAATGAATTTATTCTGGTGAACCTGGATGGGATGGTCCTGTTCCTCATTGGTTCTAATCCAATGAAGCGAACTGATCGCTGCTCTGTAGAAACTTCTTTTGAAACATAACTTTCACATACAACATTAAATGTATATGCATCAAATAGGATTTAAAGTAAAGTTTTGCCAACGTTTTCGTCACATATTTAGCATTTTTCAACAGGCATCAACACAGCCGCCTACAATTCAGAAGCATCTGCGGTGCGCGAAGATTTCACCCAGTTAATTTATCCACCAGTTGATCCATAAAAATCTAAATTGGTTATTTTAAATTAGATTTTATTTTTTTCAAGTGATTGAAAAACAGAAAAAAGTAATCATAAAATGTTTAAGATTTAAAATTCATTGGCTTTTATTTATTTCTCATTTCCTGCCAACTTTTCCGCCCCCTAGCGGCCATACTTTGAAAAAAACAAGCCACTTCAGTTAGATTGATGCAGCATCTGGTTCAGAACCAGAACCGGTCCAGAACCAGAACCGGTTCAGAACCAGATAATAAACAGAACTGGATGGATTTTATTCACATTTCTTCTGGCCATTTTATTTGTATGAAATTAAAGAATTAAAAAACTGTCCACATTCGAACAGAACTTCAGCTGGACCAGAACCAGGACCTGGACCAGAACCAGGACCAGGACCTGGTTAGAACCCAAACAAAGATTCAAAGTCTTTGTGTTTTCCAGCATTTATGTACTGAAAGTTTAATCGAATTGTGATGTGAATAAATGTGAATATGTAAATAAACAGAACATTTTGGAATCAGAATCACAAACAGAACCCGTCTTTGAACCCAAAACATTTCAGGTTCAGAACCGGGCCGGAAGACAGCGGTTCTGTCCGAGTCCGTGTTCATAAACTTGTTCAGAACCAGAAAATATCTGTTTCTTTGGAAACGCAGAGCCAACAGAGTTCTGAACAGAACGGATCAGAACCAGCAGGACATGGACCAGAACCGGGTCGAAACAGAATATCAAACTGGATCCAGAACCGTTTGATGTTCCATCAAACTATTCAACCAAAGGATTTCTGGTTCTGGTCTTTTTGCTCGGCTCTGATGCTGGTTCCGGGTCCAGTTGTGGTTCTGGTCTCTAGTTCTGCTCGGTGCTGGCCCGAACGCAGGTGCAGCCCACTGCCACTGAGAGGTAGGAGGCATTGTAGCAGCTGCTGTGCTCCATCCGGGTCAGAACCAGAATGTTCTGGTGGATCGGGACGGAGTTCCAGTCGTGTTCTCCCTCCTGACCCGGTTTGGGTCCGGAGCAGAACTTGGTGCTGCAGCTGGCCTCCCAGATGGTGGACGGGATCCGGTTCTTCACCGTGCTGGACCTGCAGGGGCATATGGCAGAGTCAGCACCGGAACCAGGACCAGAACCAGCGGTTCTGCCGGACCCACCTCCAGCTCCACGGCGACAGCGAGCGCTGATGGACGTTCCCGTTTCCTTCAGACGGAGAAACGTCAGCGGAGAAAACCAGCGTGGAGTCACAGACCGGCTGGCCGGAGATTACCCACAATGCACTGCACAGGACCTGAGGAGCACACAGCAGGGTGAGCTGGACCAGAACCAGGACCTGGACCTGGACCTGGACCAGAACCAGAACCTGGACCTGGACCTGGACCTGGACCAGAACCAGAACCTGGACCAGAACCAGAACCTGGACCAGAACCAGGACCTGGACCAGAACCAGAACCTGGATGGTATTAATGGTTTTCATCTCCAAACTTAGATTATTTTTACTGTTTCCAAATAAAAACACAAATATCAGCAGTCCGACCCGTTTGGACCCGGACCGGGCTGGTCCAGGTTTGGACCCGGTCCAGGTCCAAACGGGTCCAAACCCATAACCTGACGCTCTCTGGCTGCTCGTCTGCATGGCTACCGCTGCGTCCTGCTGCCTGGTTCCCTCCAGGTTCAACTGGGACAATAATTTCAGAAAAAATTAAATCGGTTTCAGATCCTGAGAACAAAAACCCAGAGATTCAGTCAAATCCATAAATCTATTGATTGATCTACTGAGTTCTGATTGAAATAAGACAATAATGATAATAAACCAATGATTTACTTACTAAAAAAATCGTTGCTCTCAAATTCAGTAAAAGCCATTTAATCTGATCTCTTCATGACAATTAATCCCAAAACTTAATCTATAAATTCAGCATGAATAATTTAAACTCAGATTTATTCGTTTATGCTTCATATGTTTATATTTATGATCGGTTGCTGTTCAGTCGGAGTTTGTTTGGTTTTCCCAACGTTCCCGACACGAGCCGGACCCAGAAGGACGGGGCCCGGGTCCCAGAGGCCTCCCGGGGCCTCCCGGGGCCTCCCGGGGCCTCCCGGGGCCTCCCGGTGCCTCCTGGGGCCTCCCGGGGCCTCCTGGGGCCTCCTGGGGCCTCCAGAGGCCTCCTGGGGCCTCCTGGGGCCTCCAGAGGCCTCCTGGGGCCTCCAGGGGCCTCCTGGGGCCTCCTGGGGCCTCCAGGGGCCTCCTGGGGCCTCCTGGGGCCTCCTGGGGCCTCCAGGGGCCTCCTGGGGCCTCCTGGGGCCTCCTGGGGCCTCCTGGGGCCTCCTGGGGCCTCCTGGGGCCTCCAGAGGCCTCCTGGGGCCTCCCGGTGCCTCCTGGGGCCTCCTGGGGCCTCCAGAGGCCTCCTGGGGCCTCCCGGTGCCTCCTGGGGCCTCCCGGTGCCTCCTGGGGCCTCCCGGTGCCTCCTGGGGCCTCCTGGGGCCTCCTGGGGCCTCCTGGGGCCTCCCGGGGCCCCCTTAGCCCCCCGGGGCCTCCCGGGGCCCGGGCTTTAAAAAGTGGCTTTTATATTTAGTTTTAACATGAAGTTGATAAAATGACCTGTTGATAATATCACCAGGTCATTTTCAAAAACTTTAGGATTTTTTATGTTCAAACTATAATCCCAAACTATAAATTTGACTCACCTGCTGTCGGCCTGCTAGCTTTATATAAAGTGGGACGTTTGCGCCGCCCAAAGCGTGGCTGCCCTGGGCTACTGCCCTTCCTAACACCCGGCTGGTTCCTGACCTGGTTCTGGTTCTTATGAATCTTAATCTTAGCGTCATCCTGAGCTCTAAACACAGCAGCCATTTTCCAGTTATCGGTTCCTTTCAGAACCAGAACCGGGTTTGGGCTCCCTCCCTGACAGAACCCAGCAGCGCAGTGTCAGCCAGAGAGCAGTCAGAGTTCAGCAGCCGTGATTCTCACCAGCAGCGTGTCGGCGGCGCGGCAGAGCGGCGGCATGTCGGCTCCTCTGTGTTCTGGTCCGGTTCTGATTCATCTGCTGTCAGATCAGCTTATTTATGACCATCAGATCTGATGTGGGCTCAGATAACCGATCGGGGAGATTCCTCCTATCAGAGCGTCCATCAGCTCTGAGCGCGCTCAGGTGATTAATGCTGATCAACTTCCTGCCTGCTGATTAGCATCTATCTGTGAGAAAAACCCAAAAACAGAGAAACTCCTACAGACTGAGGCTGAGTCACTGCAGAGCACATCATCCAACTGTCATCCAGCATCCATCAGAACCTGCTGGCCGGGTCCGGACGGAGGCTTGGATCTCTGCCGGTTCTGATCCTCTGGATCGACGACCCAGATCCTGAAACCTCTGATCTCTGTGAAACTCAGCCGAGGATGGCTTTGCTCATTTGTCCTGGTTTCACCCCAGCAGCACCGATCAGAACAAATCAGAACCGATCAGAACTGATCAGCACCGATCAGAACCGATCAGAACCGATCAGCACCGATCAGAACAAATCAGAACCGATCAGAACTGATCAGCACCGATCAGAACCGATCAGAACCGATCAGCACCGATCAGAACAAATCAGAACCGATCAGAACTGATCAGCACCGATCAGAACTGATCAGCACCGATCAGAACCGATCAGAACTGATCAGCACCGATTAGAACCGATCAGAACTGATCAGCACCGATCAGAACTGATCAGCACCGATTAGAACCGATCAGAACTGATCAGCACCGATCAGAACTGATCAGCACCGATTAGAACCGATCAGAACCTATTAGCACCGATCAGAACCGATCAGAAGCGATCAGAACCGATCAGCACCGATCAGCACCGATCAGAACCGATCAGAACCGATCTGAACTGATCAGAACCGATCACAACCGATCTGATCAGAACCGATCAGAACCGATCTGAACTGATCAGAACCGATCAGAACCGATCAGAACCGCTGGCTCTCAGCAGAAACGGGATGAAAACATTATTAAGCTCTAAATATCTGAGGATCTCCTGCTGCTCAGCACAAAACTCAAGATATCAGGTTAAAGGTTAAAGGTCATCACACAGAAAGCCTCTCCTCTCTAGAAACAAGATGGCTGCCGGCCGGAGGTTGGATCGAGATGGAGGAAACCAGCAGATCAGGAGAAGCCAATGCTGTCAGGCACGGTGGTGGCAGAGTGATGGTGTGGGCCTGACTTAGTCCCACAGGCCTGCAGTTCCTGACTGGACCAGGATGAGGCACAGCCGCTCATGGGCAGAAGCACAGAGGCCTAGTCAAAGTCCAGGCTCAAGTTGTGGTGGGATCTTCAGAGAGGTGAGGAGGATCCGAACCAACGCCGGATCGGACCGCAGACAGGAAGTCGGACAGGAAGTCGGACAGGAAGTCAGACAGGAAGTCGGACAGGAAGTCAGACAGGAAGTCGGACAGGAAGTCAGACAGGAAGTCAGACAGGAAGTCGGACAGGAAGTCAGACAGGAAGTCAGACAGGAAGTCGGACAGGAAGTCGGAAAGGAAGTCAGACAGAAAGTCAGACAGGAAGTTGGACAGGAAGTCGGACAGGTACTGTAGGGAGTTCCACAAGGTTCTGGATCTGGACCAGAGTTCTGTCAAATCACCTGGCAGTGAGAACGTCGGCCAGTTCAGCAAGCGCCACAAATTATGACGAAAAAAAGTCAATAAACTGTTTCAATGATAACTGGATAGAAATACATGCACAGCTGCAGCACCTGACCTTCTGACTAGTTAACCCCTCTGCTTGGTGACCCTCTGACTAGTTAACCTCTCTGCTTGGTGACCTTCTGACTAGTTAACCCCTCTGCTTGGTGACCCTCTGACTAGTTAACCTCTCTGCTTGGTGACCTTCTGACTAGTTAACCCCTCTGCTTGGTGACCCTCTGACTAGTTAACCTCTCTGCTTGGTGACCTTCTGACTAGTTAACCTCTCTGCTTGGTGACCTTCTGACTAGTTAACCCCTGTTGCGTCAGCATGTCATGCAGCTGTTAATAAAGTGTGTGATGATCTTCCTCGTGCTGCTGGTTAAATAAAATCACCTGGTAATGTCGGCGCCTCCTGGTCTGACCGATGCAGGCGGCCGGCGGGTCGTGGACCTGGACTTTTCCCCCGACTGGACCGAGAGTCCTGGAGACAGAAAACATGGACAGATGTTTGGAACGTCTCTTCACCTCCTGCCGGTTTTTAAGTTTGTAATTTTCAAAGTAAAATCTCCTCAGAAAAGTTGTGAGTTTCTGAAGCTGATAAATTTGTGTTGTCAGCATCCAGGAGCAGGAAATGATCAGACAACCGCTGATAGTTGGGGTTCCAGTTTAGATGAGTCAGCTTCGTTCCTAAAGGTCAAAGTGTTGAATGCAGCAGCAGCCCAACAACATCCGGATTTTCCTGTAGAGGATCCGCTCCGATCTGGATCCCAAAACCAAACCCACCGGTTCCACCTGTGGATATGAATCTGATTCAAAGCGACATGTTTACAGTCTCAAACAGAGCGCTGCAGGACCTGCAGGACGGAGACTGCAGGACGGAGACTGCAGGACGGAGACTGCAGGACGAAGACTGCAGGACGAAGACTGCAGGACGAAGACTGCAGGACGGAGACTGCAGGACGAAGACTGCAGGACGGAGACTGCAGGACGAAGACTGCAGGACGGAGACTGCAGAACGAAGACTGCAGGACAGAGACTGCAGGACGAAGACTGCAGGACGGAGACTGCAGGACGAAGACTGCAGGACGGAGACTGCAGGACGAAGACTGCAGGACGGAGACTGCAGGACGAAGACTGCAGGACGGAGACTGCAGGACGAAGACTGCAGGACGAAGACTGCAGGACGAAGAGTGCAGGACGGAGAGTGCAGGACGAAGACTGCAGGACGGAGACTGCAGGACGAAGACTGCAGGACGGAGACTGCAGGACGAAGACTGCAGGACGAAGACTGCAGGACGAAGACTGCAGGACGAAGACTGCAGGACGGAGACTGCAGGACGGAGACTGCAGGACGGAGACTGCAGGACGGAGACTGCAGGACGAAGACTGCAGGACGGAGACTGCAGGACGAAGACTGCAGGACGGAGACTGCAGAACGAAGACTGCAGGACAGAGACTGCAGGACGAAGACTGCAGGACGGAGACTGCAGGACGAAGACTGCAGGACGGAGACTGCAGGACGAAGACTGCAGGACGAAGACTGCAGGACGAAGAGTGCAGGACGGAGAGTGCAGGACGAAGACTGCAGGACGGAGACTGCAGGACGAAGACTGCAGGACGGAGACTGCAGGACGAAGACTGCAGGACGAAGACTGCAGGACGGAGACTGCAGGACGAAGACTGCAGGACGAAGACTGCAGGACGGAGACTGCAGGACGGAGACTGCAGGACGGAGACTGCAGGACGAAGACTGCAGGACGGAGACTGCAGGACGGAGACTGCAGGACGGAGACTGCAGGACGGAGACTGCAGGACGGAGACTGCAGGACGGAGACTGCGTTCTTCTGCACATCCTTTGGGTCGTGTGGCTGCAGTCTGGTTTAATTAGTAAAATGAATTTTAAAATGATTTCAGTGATTGAAGTTACAGCTGGATCATCATCATTATCTGGAGTTACTGTCATCTAGATAGATCTACATGGATCTACATGGATCTAGATAGATCTACATGGATCTAGATAGATCTACATGGATCTAGATAGATCTACATAGATCTACATGGATCTAGATAGATCTACATGGATCTACATGGATCCAGATAGATCTACATGGATCTAGATAGATATACATAGATCTACATGGATCTAGATAGATCTACATGGATCTAGATAGATCTACATGGATCTAGATAGATCTACATGGATCTAGATAGATCTACATGGATCCAGATAGATCTACATGGATCCAGATAGATCTACATGGATCCAGATAGATCTACATGGTTCCAGACAGATCTACGTGGATCCAGATAGATCTACGTGGATCCAGATAGATCTACATGGATCTAGATAGATCTACATGGATCTAGATAGATCTACATGGATCCAGATAGATCTACATGGATCTAGATAGATCTACATGGATCCAGATAGATCTACATGGATCCAGATAGATCTACATGGATCCAGATAGATCTACATGGATCCAGATAGATCTACATGGATCCAGATAGATCTACATGGATCCAGATAGATCTACATGGATGGTTTATTGTGAGCCTGGAGCTGCTGAACGTTTTGTTCACAAGTGAAGCAACTTTTTCAGTCCAGACTGAGTTGCTGCTGTAATTTTGTTGCTCTCAGCAGCCATGTTGCTGCTTTGGTTGCTCTGCTTCCTGTCGGCCCCTCAGCTTGTTTCTGCTTCATGCTGACTTTCTTATCTGTACTACACATCTGCTGGTTGTTCTGCTGCTGCAGCGCTTTGGTCAGACTGACTGAGATCAGGAAAGTTCATCTGATCTTATCTCCATCTGTCTGTGGGAGTCTGAACTGAGGTGACTGGTGTGGCCCCGCCTCCTGCTGTGATGTCACAGCTTGGTTGTGGTCGCTCTGAGGTCGGAGCATCGATGATCTCAGCATCTTTTCTCTGACCTGCTTTAATGCACGAGGAGGAATTATCTGATAAATCATCAGGTTTACAGGAACTGCTGTCAGCGTACTTCACCTTCACCTAGGAAACGGCATCCAGCGGCAGCGGCGGTTTGTCAGCTCCACTTCCTGCGGGAGAGCCGAGCAGATGCAGCTTCAGCACCAAGCAGAATCTGTTGCTTATGTCGCTGATGACCACCAGATCGACCCGCCGGGGCTAACTCTGTCCCGCTAACGCCTTCCCGTAACGCCATCCCGCTATCACCGTTCCGCTAACGCCTTCTCGCTAACTCCGCCGACGCATCAGGACACAGCAGAACCTGGAAATCTGCTGCATGAGGCGCCAGCGTCCTGCAAGGTCATCAGGAATTGAACCTGCTTCATAAAACCAGAAAAGATCCGTATCCTGCTCTGATTCTGAC